GGGTCCACGATTGCCCACAGCCCCTCACCTCCACCTTCCAACACAATCTGCTCCATGTCACTCTCGCGCCGGTGACCAAGCCGTCGATTTCTACTGGGATTCAACTCAAGCGACGGCCGGCTAGGCGCGCGATGTCATTCGACGGCCCCCTCAACGTATGCTCGATCCATCTCCATCTTCTCTTACACGTTTTTTGAGCAAGCTCCTCTTGGTTCGTTTGTTGTTAGTTTCATGCTGCTAATTCATTCTGACCGGCTTGTCTTCTGATCATCAGTATGGAGCCAGAGAAGGCAGCTATTGATAAAAGTCGGAAAACTGTTGAAAATCCTTTTCGTAACACGCTGACCAAAAATCCGAATCTTGTTCTTTTTACTGGCCGAGTGCAGTGCAGAAGGTTTCCAAACTGGTTTTACGTCCATGAAGGCGCATCTTGCATTTCATCCGTGGCATGTGCCTGTGGTTGAAACGAAGGAGGTCACCTCTGTCAAATTTCTCTCGTTGATGGTGATTAGTGCTGGATGATCGGTTTCTTCATTACCTCCGTCTCCACCTTCTTCATGTTAATCTGGAATCCTGTCTTTGCTGCGTGCTTCTTCACTCAGTTTGTTAGTTTCCTCCTTCAAGTCTTCGAGTCTGCGTGACATAAAACATTCGCGAAGTCCAGATATACTTGAGTCTTCCTATCGGTGGTCCAGCGTATTGTTGTCTCGTCGCTACCATGAAGAGCCTTCAGTCCACCACAATCACGAATATCAGTATGTGCTTCCGTTTACTTCATTTCACATATTGGTTGTTTCATAATGAACTATTCACCTCATTCTCACTATCTCCTCTCTAATTTATCTCATCTTGTACAAGTCACTCACCTAACACTGTTCACAACTTTGAACTGACTTGTCAATTTTCGTTCATTGCATTGTAAGAATCAATTATGGCTAATTACCATCACTGTCTCTCATTACACCAAATTATGTTGTAGTTAAATTTAGCCCACCACATTTGTCACACCAATACTACTATTATTATTACCTCCTTTAGCCCCAAAAGAAACAAGGGGGTTTAGCGGCACGTTGCCATTGCGTTCCATTCTCCGACAACTTTTTCACCTGGCTCCACGTCTACCCACATACTTTCATCTCCTCCTCGCATCACCTCCTTCACGTCATCCTCACACTGACGACCAACTGGCAGCTTCCCATTTGAGTTTCACTCAAGAGATGGCCTGGCGTGTGATGTCACTTGATGGTTTGTTTTCTCAGAGTGTGGCCAATCCACCTCCATTTCTTCCTGTTTATTTACTGCACAGTTGGTCCCTACTGGGTTGGTTCGTTCCCAGAGATCCTTCACTATTGCTGATCTTTTCTGGTCATATCATCCTGAGTGGTATTGAGCGAAGACAGCCGTTAATGAAGGTCTGTAGTTTGTTTGAGGTGCTCTTCATGACGCGCCAAGTCTCCAATTCGTATGGTAGCACTGAATTCACATTGGAGTTGAAAATCCGAATCTTATTTTTCGTGCTGGGTGCTGTTGACCTCCGCACGAACTTGAGAGTAATGAAAGCTTGCCTTGCTTTCCCGATCTTCGATTTGATATCCTCATCAGTACTATCTGCCTGTAGTTGAAAAGGCGATGCTTCCCAGGTAGTTAGGTGAAGGAGGTTGCTTCTTTCAGACTCCTCCCATTTATGCTGATTGCTGTCTTCATCACCTGTTTTCTCTATGTTCACCTGAAATCTTATCTTTGATATCACACAAATACTACTATTTATTTAATATGAACAGCCTCTGACTACTAATCTCTTGTTCTAATTCAGAATGTATCCGCCGCATAACTAACTGATAAATATCATCACGAAAACAAAAATATTACAATTTATAATTGTAAGAAACTGAAGAGGAGAATTTATTGAAAAGAATATTCTTTGTTCAGACTGACTTTTATCAATTCATGATATGTGCCTACTCTATTTTATTCCTTTACGTCCCCAGTGGAACATGGGCTTCCCAAGCTAGATCTTTGAAGTTTAATTAGCAGTGGTTTTATTTTTAATGTGGTGGGTTTGCTAGCCTCACACCCAACCCTAACTCTTTATAGGATTTACTACCGGCTTAGAGAGGTTTAGCAGTGAGTCATCCAAGGATCGAACATCAGACCACATGCTCGGTTGGCGAAAGTTCTACTGCCGAATCACCGACGCACATGAGTCCACTTAGCACGCCTAAATATCTCATTGTTAGATCAATTTTCTTGGTTGGTTATCTATTAACCACTTCACACATGATAAAACTGATTAATTACTGTCAACAGACCATATATATAAAGTATAGTCACAGATAAGGATGTCGCTGAAAAGTGACCCACCATATCAGAAGGAATTGCAGCAGTAAGTCCTTAGAAGAAGAGCCCTTTATTTCTCAAAAATATCCCGGCTCGAAATGGATACCCAGCATGTTTCGTGGAGAGAACATGAAATTAAAAAGAGACGAATGCATTTCAGTACCAAAAACCACTTTAATTGAATCTGCACTTTAAGCGGGAATTGGTGGCAGATATCCTAAACAAAGAATCTTCACTTCCCTAAAGAAGACCTGTCCTGCAGCAACTCTAAGAGTGATACTGTCCAGCCACCCGCTGCTTCTAAACAATGTGGAGGAAAAACTCCCACATAAAACCCTTCCACTGAACATATATAAGTTCACCTGCTCCTATGAAGCTAGGTACATAGGTCGTTCTATGCGCCTCCTGTCAAAACGTCTTAAAGAACACTACCCAGAAGATTGCAAACAGGAGACACTGGTTCAATTAAAAGCGTCATAACTGAACACCACGTCAGCACACCTGTCGCAGCATCTCAACTGACTCATGCATCATTCGGAGTCACTTACACATTTCAAAAAATGCATCATCAAAGGCACTGATTCCCATTTATTTGAACTGAAGAAGTCTTCACCATATATATCGAGAAGCTGGGACTATGTGTTGAGAAGAAACTAGTCCAACCTATACATTTACCATGGATCTAGTTCCGTTTGACACCTTCGTTTTCAAATTTCAGTTATAGAAGTGGCTATTATTTCAATTTGTTTCCATGCTCATCCCGTTTACACCGATAATTCGTTAAAAACTTAATTTCCATATAACGGAACTTCTTTCTAATCATGTGTAATTTTATTCCAGGCCCCTTGTGACCTCGATATTCACACACTCGAACTTTCACATCAAGTTGAAGATTATTATCACTTTTTATCCCCTTCGATACTATGTGGAATTACATAACTGTATCGACGTAAATTTATGTATATAAATGTGATTGTACAGTTGCTTCGGAGGATGAAATAGCCGAAAAGACATCAGTTTGCTGAACTTCTTGTTCTTTTCCCTCTGCAAAGTGATTGTTTCTTCAGAATTCCATCATGAACTGACATCTCAAACCGATGTCAGCTCATGATGAAATCCTGTAACCGACCAACCACTTGGATGTTTCTCCGTTCAATCTTTTTTGTCTTCAAAATAATACATAGCCCGAAATTCAAATAGATACTTTGGAAAACAACTCTCGCTTTTCATACAGTCATCACCTAAACAACTGCCCCAGATCAAATCGCTAACGGATCAACATAGAAATTTTTTTTCGCACAAGTGGATATAAACCACGTTATCGGCTAAATTATGCCTCACTCACGTATCACTCATTTTTTCGTTACTGTCTAATTGATAGGCAGATATAAAAGTGTGCAATTAATGGTGTTCTCTGAGCTGGTTGGTTTAGTTGCGAAGCTTTCGTCGTCCTTCTGGACAACATCCCCTTTCAGCGCCATATTTAGCACAAAGTGAAATGATTTAAACTTCTTCATGAGTGATATAATTGCGTCTCCTGGTAACTATCTTTACATATGTATTGACCATTTTCTATTGACTTGGATTTTAAACTTTCTGGTCACCTGATTTACTTTTTATTAGTTGATATATTTCGTCTATATTAACGTGCTTGTTAATTGCATTTTCGTTTGAGTATCAGGCTTCTAGGTATTCTCTGGCACTTTTGGTGTTCCCTTTGTCTAAGGTTTTGACAATATCCCAATCAAATTGATGACCATAACTGTCTATATGCATTGATACTAAAAAATACATATCGTGTCTTCTCACGGTTTCAGTATTCCAGCTGGAATACTGAAACCGTTAGATATAGATATAGCACACAAACCAGTAAAATCGCTTAATTCGATATTATGCAAACCAAAAGATCCAACAGAAAAAGGGGATAAAATTAATACCATTTACAAAATAAATTGTATGAACTGTAACAAGCATTACATCGGCTAAAGTGGGCGTCCCCTTCGAATCACAGAATCCAAGAACACAAATCAGCCATGAAAAGACACGATATATATTCTTTAGTATCAATGCATATAGACAATTATGGTCATCAATTTGATTGGGATAATGTCAAAATCTTAGACAGAGGAAACACGAAAAGTGCAGTCAGGGAATTCCTAGAAGCCTGGTACTCAAACGAAAATGCAATTAACAAGCACGTTAATATAGACGAAATATATCAACTAATAAAAAGTAAATCAGGTGATCAGAAAGTTTAAAATCCAAGTCAATAGAAAATAGTCAATATATATGTAAAGATAGTTACCAGGAGACGCAATTATATCACTCATGAAGAAGTTTAAATCATTTCACTTTGTGCTAAATATGGCGCTGAAAGGGGATGTTGTCCAGAAGGACGACGAAAGCTTCGCAACTAAACCAACCAGCTCAGAGAACACTGTTAATTGCAAATCATCCACCTGAGCTACAAATCTTCTCTATTATTTCAAGATATAAAAGTGTGTCCAACTCAGACTAGTGCAGTATGTGATACTAGATTTTATTCTAATACCTCCCTACCTAATAGCATGTTAAGCATCTTAACCGTCACATCTTTGCTTGCATATTTACAGAATAAATAAACCCGAGATGCATATATAAGAGGAAATAAGTAACACAGCCTATTATGGGTTGATTCATTTAGTCTTTATCAAAATAAAAAGAAGAAAATTCGAATTGTACATTACTCAAACGCAAAAGGAAAGATACCATAGATGATATATATATATCTCGCCATATCTTTTTGAATAAAACATTGGATAGAAATAATGAAGAAATATCAAAGAATACAGGTGACAATAGATCAAAAGAGAATCTTCGAATCTTCTGAAAGGATGACAGATTTTGAATGAATCTTGTCCTGAGGATTGTTTCCCGGTAGCCAAATAGTCACTGAGTAATACTGAGTAGCTTGTTTACAGGCTGATACATACTACATAATACATATAGATACGTACTCATCACGTCTAGCAGGCAATAGATAGTGAAACAAAAAAATACCTCTAGAAATATTTCACATCAGAATCATCGAATCAATCCGGAAAGAAGAAGATAAATAACATTCTTGGTTCAGTTGTGTTCATCACAAAGACAATTAAACAGGGCATCAATACTAAGAAAGAAATCTACCGATCATACATTCACAGTAATGAACAAAATAATTAGATATTATTTATTATAAGAAGAAATTAAATTAATGCGCATATGCATATCAGGAAGACAGAAAGAATTTTGAAGGCAGTTACAGTTAGAGTCAGTTGCATGAAGAAACAAGAAGGGCAGACAGTCAATCACTCGGAACATTTGCATATGCTCGAAAAGCTAAAACATCTGAAACACTGGAACTGCTTTGTAGTTGTTGTTGAATACAAAATGGGATTCCGGCACTGATAAAGAATACAGATCCTTCATTAAATTCACTGAAAATAGGGCATACCAAAAAAACAACAACGATCCCTGGTTAATTATCAATCATGTAAATAATTTGAAAACATAACCAAATATGTTCAATAGTAGGTATACCACTATAATTATGCCTGTATTTATAGGCATCTATATTATAAATTATAGGAATGAAAAGAATTCAAGTGTTGGTTTGTAGGGATTTGATTGGTTACAAGATTTTCATCATGAGCTGACATTAGCTACAGAACCATTGGAAAACCTGGGAGTACTGGACAGCTGTTCGTCCTAGTTTGGGACTCTTCATCAGTACGCACCCACCGGGATTCGAACCCAGGACCTTCTGGTTACAAGGCGAGCTCGTATACCATTAAGCCACTGGAACCCGATCCCATGGCCCATGAATTCTAACTTCTGCCAATTCACGACATAGCGCGACCCCTAGCCAATGTCTTCGGCGAGTATTTGTCCTCATGGGCCATTGGATCGGGTGCCAGTGGCTCAATGGTCTACGAGCTAGCCTTGTAAACCAGAAGGTCCTGGGTTCGAATCCCGGTGGGTGCGTGCTGCTGAAGAGTCCCAAACTAGGGCGAAACAGCTGTCCAGTACTCCCAGGTTTTCCAATGGTTCTCTAACTAATGCAAGCTCATGATGAAAAGAATTCAGTTTGTCAGAAAAAAGCTAATTTCTCAGCTAAAGTTTTCACACACACACACACCTGCTTATATTACTCTATGATAGATCACATGCAATGCACCGAACCTTATAATTTGATTAGTCACTGACCTCCAGTACACTAATATATCTAACTGAGAGGTACTATGGCGATGTCTGACTATGAAGGGAATGCCGAGAAAATTCATTGCACTGGTCAAGACACTCTACTCAAACTCATGCATCCAGCCAGGTAAGCGCCTACGGAGAGTTGTCATCTGACAACTAGTGATGTCCTTCAGGGATACCCACTATCCCTATTTCTACTTAATTCCATCAAAGATATACTAATGGAATTAACTCTAACTGATGACTTCAGTGACTCAGAGATTGACTTGTTACCACCAGGGAGTAATCTCGTTAACTGACAAAAAGCAGATGATACAGTCCTCCAAAGGGAAGACGCTGACAGAATAGAGCAGTCTTCTGAACACCTTCAGCAGCAGCAATCCTTGAATGTTTGGTATGTGCTCAGCCTTCTGTTGATCATCACTGCAATGTTTTCATCTTTATAATCAAGCTGAAAGTAGATTGGCTTTTTTCCTACTGTGATTTATTTTACATTTGTGATATCAGATCTTCCATACTTGTTGATGAACCTTTGAGGGTATCCATTTCTCTTCAATGTCTTTTCAAGAAACTCAAATTCTTCCTCTAATTTCTCTATATGGCATATTCTTCTCGCTCTATAGTACAGGGTCTTGGCTAGACCACGTTTAAAGCTATTCGGACAAAAGCTATTAAAATTTAAGTATTGTCCTTTCCATGTGCGCTTTCGATAAGTTGACTTTTAAAGACTATCGTCTTCTAGGCGTTCCATGGCGATGTCGAGGAAGTGGAACTTTCCGTCACTTTCATGTTCCATAGTGAACTCAATATTGGCGTGTGCATCATTGAATAATCTTAGTAAGTGTGAAGCATGACTTTCATTTTTGCACACTATAAATGTGTCATCAACATATCGGCAGTAGGAAGTTGTTTCGTCGATTACATGCTTCAACTTCGTTCTCTCAAGGTTGGACATGAATATGTCTGCTAAAACAGGGCTAAGTGGACTGCCCATAGCTATACCATCTATTTGACGGTAAAGAGTGTTGTCAAATTGGAATTGCACATCCATGGTACCAATTAGCAGTAGGCGTTTGAGTTCTGACTCTGGGAGTGGGAGAAGATCAGACTGCTGACAAATGATTTCAATGGTTTCGTTGATTGGAATCATTGGGAACAAGGAGGTTACATCAAATGACACCATGAACTTATTTAAAACGTTCATGTGGTTTACACCTTCAGAGAAATGAAATGAGTCTTTGATAGTGTGCATGCCTAGCCATTGACGAATAGGTTCCAACTTCTCCGCAAGCCAACGTGCCACCTTATGCTTGGGCGAAATGATCATCGAAAGTATAGGTCTCAGGGGGACTTGTTTTTTGTGTATCTTCGGAAGGCCATACATGTGTGGCAAGCGGGACCCTTGGGGTTTCAAATCATTGTACGTATTGTTGTCAATCAATTTCTTCTTTAGAAGATCTCTCAGTGCGTTTGTGATACGTTTTTAGACAGCATCTGTCTTACTGTTTCCTGCGTTCGGTAAACTGGTTATGCAGAAAGGTTTTGGTTCGTATATATATAGACTGACTGCAGAAAATCTACATATAAGGATGAACCCCAAAAGTTTAAATAGGCATGAAAATGTGATCTTGTTAGCTAATGCATGTCAAGTCCTGATTAATAAATAAAATGAATATCTCCATTATGATATATATATATATATATATATACGTTTGTTACTTTAATTTCGATTAGTTCCCCTCAAAAGAAGTTAAGACCAGTTTGCCGAACTCAGGAAACGTTGGAATTACTCATTTAACAATTTCGATGAGATTTTACAAATATAATTTTATCTATAGGATAATAAGATGGTGAATATAAATTGTGCAATTATTAATTATAATAATAATAATGGTTCTATCAATAATAAGGATGAAAAGTGAGGCGATCTGTGATAACAAGAATAACGAAATACAACATGATTCAACAAACAAAGTGTTCAGGTAGACATAGTAGTCGATCAAGGCTAGGAAAAACAAATGTACCGATTAGGTAATGCTAGATTGATTGTAAAGGAAGTAAATCAACTGAGTTTCAATGAAGATGTGATAAGATTAAGGGATGATAAGAGAGTGGCGTTGAAAACATAAGTAAGAGGGGGTGGAGAAGTCACCAGTTGGTTAGGTCAAAACATCCCAAAGTAAGGATAATGGCTGCACGAACTTCTTTTAAATGCATAATTTAGGGGCTTAATAGTTCAAATGCCTATCGCCTTATCCATATGCACTAGACGATTAAGAAGTCCACGTGGGAATGATTCGGTGGGACGCGATGAATCACCTTGAATACTTTCGTTTTCTTCACTAAATGACCACCAACCACTAATTAAGTGCGAAAAAATGGAGCTACGGATTGTTTATGTCTGACCATTACCGCACGACGATGGGAGATGTTCAGTAGTGACATGTTGATCAGGCTGTCTAGTAGTACGCTCAAAATGAATGTCACCGGAGGTGCAGTTGAATTGATAAATGCACATAGATATCGCGAAACTATCTAATAATAATAATAATAATTTGCTTTATTCCAAAACAGTACTTGTGATACAGAATGGAATTCTCAGCATTTTTACTACAGTATTGCATCCAGTTAGTACAGTATCAATAAATAGAATTCTACATGCATTAAGGAAATTTCAGTTCATTATGACAACAAAACTTTGGCATGTCGGTAGCAAAGCCAAAGTTGAAGAGTGTTTGAAGGTGTTAGAAAAGTAGGTGCTATTATATTTACTAGCGTAAGCGGGAGAAAGAAATAAAGCAGCACATAACGGAAAAGAGAGAGAGAGAAAAGGAAAAGAAAGAAAAATAATGTTGTACCTATAAATAATATGAGTTGAAAAGACGAGGTCCATTTGTTCAATTGACTATTTAATGAGTCATAGGTGTCACGCCTAATGCTTTCTTTATCGCACAGAACACGAGCTAAGTAGGGAATGGTTGAGTTTTTGTACTTGCTACTGCGAGCATATAGTTTTCTATATAGGCTTCTGGTTTCACCTGATGAGATGCAAGGGGAGAGTTGTGAGTGAAGAGGGTGGTGTGAGTTAGATAAAATGGATTTGGCCCATTTTCCACATGAGTCCATGTGCTTATGCTTCGTTTGCATCCCAATCATTCGTCGACTAGATAATGACAAACACAAGTTTGCTGAGTAAGACGTTATTCGTATACTCCTGGAAAGTCTCTGGAATAAAATCTCACTTGACAAGTCACCATTAAATTGTAACTTAATGAATAGAGGCTTTTTACGTGCAGTCATAGTCTCAGGTTTTCTCTCTTATATTTTCATGTTTCTTTATAAAACTAATCGGATAGCCTATTTCCACCAAGGAACCAAGAATATATTCAAATTCCTTTTGTAAGTGGTCATCCTTACACATCTTTCTTGCTCTACTCGTAAGACATTTAACAACATTTCGTTTATGTTTAATGGGCACATAATTAAGGAATTTTGTGTATTGCCCTGTGAATGTGCTTCTCCTATACACGCTTCTCCCAAGTGACCCATCTTCTCGCCTACTTAGCAAGAAGTCTAGAAAATGTAGTTTACTATCCTGCTCCTCTTCACAAGTGAAGTTAAGCGAAGAGTGGACGTTGTTGAATTTCATCAACAATTCGTCTATGTTAGCATTCCCATCAGCTAAGATAAATGTATCATCGACTTCATGGTAATACATATCAAACTTCTTGATGATGTCTTTCAATTTCCTGTTTTCAAGTTTTGCGGGGAAGAAATCAGCTAATATTGGGCCTAATGGTGAGCCCATAGTTATTCCATCTACTTGTCGGTAGTATGAATTATTGAAGACAAAATGCACATTCATTGTGCATTTATAATTTTACACTGAAGTATGGCTTCAAATTCATTCTTTTTCATAACCATTGTAATTTCAGATAGTCTTTACTACAGCAGTTGATGAGAACTTATGAAATCAAATGATGACATTATTTTATCCTGCAGATCTGATCTGTATTTCTTCCTTTCTTTATCGATATATGTATATGTGTGTAAATGAAACTTACAAGCATTCACAAACAAAAGCAGAAGCTGTTGAATTGTCCTCAGTACAATTGGATTTTTTCTTTTCATTATTATTTTTATTCATTGGTGTAGAATTATCATTCGCATCTGGTGTTTCTGCCATTTGACTATCAGATAATCTATTCCCATAGAGACGTTGTATTCTACCTTGTCCATTGATAATCAATAAGATACTAGCAGATTTTAATGGTGCAAATTCAACTGCTTGATACTGACTTGGTATCTGTTAAAACAAATTAAAATTATATACATAACAAAGGGTCGAAGTGTAACGACAGAAGACAAGGATCAGGCAACAGATCGTTTATTGAGAAAATCAACAGATATTTAAAAAGTTTTATGTACGTTATTGTTAGCGGAGAAGCAACCTCTTCTGATTGGTTGTTTTATGGGCTGTTTGTGACCATTTCTTAGAAAGTTAAGCCATATATCTGCGAATCGTACTTGCACACGTTAGGTCTGCTGTGATTGGTTGGTGAGTTCCTCAAGGTTAAGCTTTGTTATTGTTTTTTTCTCTCATGACCCCGATTTGGGACGTAAACGTTGACGTAAAATGTTGCCGACAATTTTAGCTTGCAGACAGCTCTTATCACAGAAAGAAGACATTTCAAGCAGCCACCTTGCAAATTACATTCTCGCAAAACCAATAGTTAATAGTCATGTATGTAAAGGATAAGATACCGCTTTTGGTCATCTATGGAGCAAACTATGTCGGTTATCTATCACGTCAAGTCCAGAAACGTATTTTGACTAGCCAGAGAGGAGAAAACATGAATGTCAATAATTCTATTCACGAGCACTTAGTCAACCCTGAACCTCTAGACTCCACACAAGATTGCTTCACAGTGCTAAGCAGAGTCACGTAACATCGCAAAAAGAATTTAAAATTCACCATTTGTAAGTAGCTGAACAACTGGCTTTCCAGAACTTAAAATATTACTTATGTATTGAAAAGCTAGTTAACAGTTTGATTGCTCTTGTGGAACTATTGCCACTGAGTGTACAATCAGATACTTTCATCATTGGATTTCCCAACACAATTCTGCATGGTTATGTAAGGGATAAATAAGATCCATTCATAGCTCTGTTTTAGCTCATCTTCTAGATGTACTTTAGCAGTTTGTCTTCTACATATAACTGAATCCATCGAAATCCATCTGTGGAAGACAAACTTGTGTGTTTAGAAGAGATTCATCCTTACCTTGGCCATCAGTGCATGAATGTACACTCTGACAATTTTCCATTAGCCAATGGGACCCGATCCAACGGCGCATGAATAGTTTATGGAGCTCACCATGTAACCGGAAGGTCTTGGGTTCAAACTCCAGTGAAGGCGTACTGATGAAGAGTCCCAAGCTGCCCATCTAATCCCTCGTAGTTTTCTAATGTTTCTCTCACTAATGTCAACTCGCGATCAAACCAATACTTGAAAATAAGTACGACTGTACATCAAAAAGGAAATTTTCTTCACAATCGCGCCTTCTTTTGTTTATGACAAATAGTTTAGCCTACAGAAATCTATCCATCACACACACACACACACGAACACACCCGCGCAAATCTCAGTAACAAGAGAAATAGTGGTAGGTATTGTGTCTTTCAGTTACTCTGAATGAAAGTATGAGAAATGCAGTTTTCAATTTTTATAAGTATAATCGATTATATTATCAATGAACTGTAATCAATGATATATAAAACTAAATATTTCAATACTAATCAATAAAAATATGCGTCGGTGGCAAAGTGGTTAGGACGCTCGCCGATCATGCACATGGTCCGGGGTTCGATCTCAGGCCGACGCACTCCTTTGCCTCGCTAAGCCAGAAATAATGCTGGTGAAGAGGAAAGGTTGGGCATGAGGCAGGCTAGCAACCCCATCCTGTAAAATAAACACTGCTACAGAAACTTTCAGGCCTATAGCTTGAAGCCCTATGTTTCACTGGGGAACGTGAAGGAAAAAAACCAATAAAAATGGTACCTAAAAGATATGTAGTACACTTGAGTAAAGAGCATTTAGAAGACACATATCGTGCGATGTTATCATTTCGTAGTTTCACTACAATCGCTTTACACCTACTAGCATGATTCACAATAATGAAATAAAAGTAAGGCTTCATTTCAGACAATATGCGAACAAATGGTATAAAATTTTTTAGCGTATTTAGTTCCAAAATACTTTTTTTCTTCATACAGGATTTACAAGTAAAGTAATAATCTCCAATTTAAAAAAATTATTGGCCAGCTACGGTAGCTAGGTATGAACTGATACGCCTGTCTAAACTGAATCTAACGGGAAACGATGACTGGGACATGTGTCACAGGACGACATGGAGGCGATCAGAGACTATGGACAATCTGGGGGCCATCTAAAGAGGACCTCAGAAAATAGAAAAAAGTGGAGATGTGTTGTTGAAGCTTATTTTCCACTTGGAACCCAAGGGAACAATAAATAGTACACAAAGTCAATCCGAACATACTACTGATTAGGTCGGTTGCAAACTAGCTAAACAACCGTCCAAAGTTAAGATTACATCGAAATGGTTAGAAAGCACTACTGATTGACATCAGTAGTTACTAAAAACTAATTCACCAAAACTCCTCATTAGCCAGATCAATTGTATTAACTAACCGGCTACACATGAGTAGTGACAACATCGGTGTATCAAAAGGTAACTGATATGATCCCTGACTCATTTAGGATAAACGATAACTCTCGTTAATAAATTATTATTTTTATTATTCCATTGGGTTCCAAGCTGAACATAGGGATTCAGCAGCACGTTACCATTTTGCCATGTTTTCTGCACTCATCTTCAACTGGCGCCACCACTGTACATGATCTCTCATCTCCTCTTCCTAACATGATTTCCTGCATGTCACCCTCGGACACACGTCCAACTCGCTGTCTCTCACTCAGGTTCCACTCTAGCGATGCACCGGCAGTCGATGTTATCCGACGGTCCCTTCAGCCTATGTTCAATCCATCTCCATTTCTCACGGCAATATTTGTTGAGCAATGGGTTCTTGGTTGTTCTGTTCCCATAGTTTCTTGTTGCTAATTCTTAGTGGTCTGCCTGCCATTTGATCTTCAATATGGCGCCGGGGAAGGCAGGTGTGGATGGCAGTTGGATGTTGGGAATGCGTGTGCTAAATTTCCGACCCATATAGAAACATCGACTGACTTAACATTTGTGTTGGAAATCCGAATCTTGTTCCTTCTGTTGGCTGAGGGTAGAAGATATCCAAAATGATTTCAGAGTGATTAAGGTGTGTCTTGTCTTTCTGATCCTGTTTGGTTTGACATCCTCATTCGTGGACAAGTGAAGAAAGTGACCTCTTTCAAATTTCTCCCGTTGATGGTTATTGATGCTGGTTGTTGTTGCTGCGTGGATATCCTCACCACCTCTTTTTTCTCTATATTTACCTGAAGTCCTGTGTTCGCTGGTTGCTTCTCCTACCAGTTTGTTGCTTTTAAGTCTTCGAATCTACGTGACATTAAACATATTTCGTTTGCGAAATCCATATCTCCTAGAGTCTTCTGGTTGGTGCAATATACTGCTGTCTAATTAATCGAAACGCACAATATGAAGCATAATCCAGTCCACTACAATTAGGAATATCATCGGTGATATCAGGCAGCCTTGTCTTAATCCTGTGTTCACTTCAAATCTTTCACCGAACTTTCCGTTGTGAATCAGTTGACACGTATCATTGTCATACAGCTGTTGGATGAGGTTGATAAAAACTTAGGGCACTTCACTGCATAGTTTTGAAATCATTTTCAAATTACTTCTCAGTCAACGCTGTCTGTCGAAGGCCTTATCGAAATCGATAAAATTAAGGTAGAGGTTTGACTGCCATTCTATGCTTTGTTCTCGGATGACGATGCGTAGAGTTGCAATTGGATCAGCACATGATTAGCCTTTCCTGAATCCACGTTGTTCTGAGGTGGGAGGGGGAGGCAGCGGAGTTCTGTCTGCAGTGCATCCTTTATTTTCTCTTGAACGAAGTGACTTAGTATTTGACGTCAATACATAAGAAAAATATTACTTTCTTTCTAAAATTTCTCAGCATAAGTTTCAAAACACTCGTGTTACAGTCTCAATAACACAATAAAGGCTTTATAAATGATTTATAAACAGAAATATTTACTACACATCGTAGGAATACTTACTACAATTTTGTCCACTGAGAACTCATCGACTGGAGGTGAAAATGTAACAATATGAGGTATATTTATTGAATTCTTAGTCTCCCCTATAGTCGGATATGTCGGTTGTGGTGGTATAATCTCTTTCAATTCTCCGCTAAACATTAACGCTGATCCCCAACGTGGTTCATATTGAACAATTTTAAGAAGATGGTCAACATCTTTAAATTTCTGTGTTAAACCTGCACGAATCACATTATCCGATGCGGCCATACATTCTATACAATCTCCAGATATATAAGCATGTGGTAAATTGGGCTTAAAAAATTTTGAAAAAAACAACAACAGAAAAACATTTTTACAACATATTACAATTAAAAGTTTATAGAGATTAGTTATTTGTCTAGCAGTAACTAGCACTTGAATCCAGGAAACGCGTTTCGTCCTCCCTAGGACTCATCAGATGGATGCATCTGCATTCTCAGTGAGCAATGATATTCCCATTGAAACTTGGAACAAGTGCCCATCAACATATAAACGCCCGAATAGGACCGAATGCGTATCTTGGATTCCATTGCTAGCCACAACCAACCAAGTGACGGTCACATTAACCCTCAGATATCATCGATACAACAGAACGACTGCGAATCGATGCCCGGTGAGAGTCCGGTCTAACATAATTCACTTAACAAGTAAAACAAAATAAATGAAATAATTATTCTATAAATATCATGTAGCGGCTGTACAAAACACGTGAGGAGATGATCCGTGAAGAGCAGGCTGAGTTTCTTTCAAGCCGTGGATATATTGATCATGTGTTAACCCTTCGTCAGTTATTGGAACACCATTACACGTATTGCAGGGTAATAATCGTTTTTATCCTTGATCTCAGGGCTGCCACCAATTCATTGAACAGACACTGTGCTCTGTAACTGTCTGTTAGAGACGGGTGTACCTGAGAAGTTTGTGAATATCCGGAAAGCCCTATACAGAAATACCTCAGGTAGAGTGAGGGCATACAACCAACTATCATCACTATTCCCAACCAACAGTGGAGTTAGACAGGATCACTTAATCTCTTCATTTCTCTTTAACTTTGTCATCGATGACATTCCTCTGGAGTCAGCACTGAAGGACGTGTGTGATGGTGTAGATCTGCTTCCTGGTGATACACTTTTTGACCTCGAGTATGGTAACGATATCGTGTTACTATGCGATAGCATACAACTGCCCAAATCGCACTTAATCAGTAGGGATCAGAGTTTGTAATTATGGCATTTGCTTTGCACCATCTAAGTGAAAGTACTATTACAAGATTGGCTGACAGGAGTATGTACCTGCACTCACTCTCTTGCAAGTGAACTGCTTGAAGTTGTAGATAAGTTCGTGTATCTGGGTAGTTGTGTGAGTGCCAGCGGAGGCGTGATGGACAAGATTTTAAACCGTAAAGTGCAGGCTAGGGTAACATAGGCCAACTTGAGCCACTTCTAGCGCCCGGTAGTCAAAGGTCGAGTTTACAATTCTTCGGTGGGCGCACTCTCGCTTCATGACTTTGAAATCTAACCTCTCCAAAATGAGGATGTGTGGCGACTCTGAATATTAGATCATCGCTTTCTCCACAGAATCACTTGCGTTCGATGGCATCATCGTGTGAGTAATTTTGAGGTCAGGTGGCGTGTACCTGGACACAGTGGAGATCACCATTCATTGAGCGTTTTCATTTGCAAACACCGGCTTCTGTTCGCTAGCCCTAGGACTGGATGCAAAAAGTGGAGAGGTGGTCAGTCTGTGACGTCGCATCGTGGGATGGAGGATATTTGTGGCAGGTTAGCATCATTTGGTACATCACAACTCTCTGGTTTAGATCTGAGAGATAGCTCGAATTAGTGGTTCGAAACGTTATCCGATGTGATTTAGAATCGCAACCAATAGCGAAAATGTTATAACTTCCTTCTTCCCTTCCTGACAATAATCCGACGAAAGCTGTTTGGTCGTGTTAAATATAACTGCTTTCTCCTCAGGTGAAGTCCTTTATTCATTCTCTACCTAACTGCTGTGTGGCGCACCTTCTTGATGCTTAATTTATACCAGGCTTTGTGTTTTAAGTAAAAATTAAAAAATTGGAAAATGCTAGAGAGCTATTGACTATCTAAGCCTATAGCGTTCTGTTTTGGGGCTCTTCAACAGCACAAACTCATTACCCCAGGAGACACAGAGTCAAGTAGCAGATAGGTGCATGGTAACATGTAGGTAGTGAGCCCAAATATAAAAGTTAAAAATTTTCTAAATCCTTCCAACTCTCAATATATCTTTAAAACAATTAGTTCCCTTTATGAATTTAGATAAAGCAATAAGGAGACGTAATTTGTCTGAATCGTGTAGTGTATCTGCGAAACACATTTCGAACAATCTGATCACACACGGATTTGTCATAGGAATATATACGATGAAATAAATAAAGAGCTACCCTATATGGGGCATCATAGCAGCTTGATAATTAGACAAAGACTGAATGCTGCTGTTAAGCAAACTTTTTATGCAGGCAATATCATAATAATTGAGAATATGAAGCCAATATATCTATCTAAGCCCTTCGAACATGCGAAAAATGATGTCACATCCTACAGTATTTACCAATTTGAATGTACGTGTGGACACACATACATACGAAGGACTCATCGATCTCTGCAAGTAAGGGCTGGCTTTAGAGTATATTCCTAAATGGCTCCAGAAACAAATAGAATCATCAGAACCCATCAATGGTAAGAACAGGAGACCTAGTTCCTCTACTGCAAAACATATTATAGAGATAGGACATAAAATTGACGTTAACAGATCTTTTAAACCTATCTATAAAACGTGTTTGCGGTATATCCTAAAGTTTGTGGAAGCCCTAGCAATTAGAAAGTTTGAACCACCTTTATGTGTTCAAAAACAATTCGTCATTACCCTAAACCTTCCCAGGTAAATTTTGTTTGGATACCATAGCAGATGTACTGTTACCTCTGTTATTTGGTTTAATGGTCTTCATTGTTACTTTGACCTTGAATATGTCCTTTCAACTTGACCTAAGTCCATTTTCTCACCTCTTAACTCTTTATTAATTTCATACACATATATTCCTATGACAAGTCTGTGTGTGATCAGATAGTTCGAAATGTGTTGCGCAAATACATTACACGATTCAGACAAATTACGTCTTCTTATCTCAATCTATCCCCTATCAAAACAAACTGGATATGCAGATGAATACTCACTAATAACACAGTGGATGGTTCTGGCACATTATCTCACCACGCGCTTAATCTCGTAACCTAACAATTCTGTATTTGATTCCCCACTCAGCAGTGGGATATTTAAAAGCGGGGAAAAACGACACACCTGTTCAATGTTCAACTCAACTTCAATATTCAAAGTTAATACAAACAAATAAAAATTCTATGTACAAAATGAAAACAATGTTTAGCTAACTAAAGAATGTCAATTCATAAATATAAATGTAACTTTTTCTAATGATTGACCTTATTATAGAAAGGCTGAAATATGCGTAGTAAATGTTACTCTGTTGAATATTTAAACCCATTTTAATATTATATATTTATATTGTATCAATATCTTATTAATATATTTACAATAAAAATTACTACTATATCCATAACTAAAAATGTAATTTTACAAATTTATTGACCTTCAAATTACAAGGTCAACCTGTTGACCACACCCACACAGTCAGTGGGTCCCCTTACCATAATGATGAATGATTAGTAGTGGGTGGAACTCGTAACCACAAGGAGTCCTTGTCTATTTCATGAATTAAGGTCAAAAGATGTATATGTACAGTCCTTATTTCTAATTTAGCCTCATGTTTATTTAACCCGTGCACCACCTTCCACTTATTATTTATTTATTTAAAACACAAAACTTGGTATAATATAGGCACCAAGAAGATGCACCATAAAACAATGTATAAACAAAATAAACAGAGAATGAATAGAGGACTAAATCTGGAAAGGGAGCAAGTTTAGATGGTTGGAGGCAATCGGTAGGAAGCCTTGGACAGAGGTTTCGTGTTAGTTGTCACTCATCAGCAAGGCGTATCTGCAACCTTGAAGGAACCGATGCAAACATGACTGATAGAATTCAGTCTGCACCGAAGATAGGACTAGACACATTACACTAGTTACTGACTAGTCTGCGATCAAAAATAGGGAGTAAGTTTATTTGACAAGATCAAACAACATTCGTCGTATTACTGTCAGGAAGGAAAGAAACAAAGGAAATTCCAGCGTGTTTGCCATTCACCGCGACTTTCAGACATATTTGATAACTTTTTGAGCTACGGATTCGAAGCATCTCTTGAACTTCAACCAGGGAGTTATCATGCACCCAAATGATGCTAACATAACACAGATACCTTTCATAGCACGACGCCATATCATAGGCTAACCGCCTTATCGCTTGTTCTATCCAGCTCCAGGACTGGAGAACAGGGACCCCCGAGAAGTAACTTTATATAAACCTTCTATCGAGAACCACTCTCTGTTATTGCTTATCCTTTATTATCTTTGGCATACTTATCTGCCTAAAACTTTCCGAATACCCATTTCTCACTAGTGTCTCCCTCAAGAATTTTTCTTAGTAGTCTAGTCTGCCACTTGTACACAGCCTTCTCGCTCTATCGAATAATGTTCAAACCAGACTGCTTCTGAACTAGACTGGGACGAAGCTATTGAAATGTACAAATTGACCCATCCAGGTTGACTTTCTGTAAATTAATCTCTCTACAGTTCCATCAGTCCCGGCCGATAACTGCTACCTTGTCGTGGTGGTCGGGCTTAAATACCGCAATGACCCAAGAAGCTGAACTGACTGGGACTCTGTCTCTACAGGTCCTACCATGTCAGGGAGGTTTTCTGGATAGCGGTTAAACTAAAAGCAGTTACTATGGGGTACATGGGCTCCAGTTTCCAATTTGATCGAATGGCGTATGAACCCATATGGGTCACCGGCAACCATGGGAATACAGCTCCTGACGCTGCTCCGCTGCCTTGCGGATTAGACTACAAGTCAAAGGCTCGGGGGGTGGTCCCTTAATAAAACCACCTGCTTCGGTCTGGGCGCCCGGGCAGTATCTCAGCCCGCACACAATGAATGAATTGAAGCAACGAACTCTCATTGAAACTCAACGCGCGCTAGTAAAAATGATTCCAAGCAATACTGATCCCTCAAGCAACTTATTTCCTTCTTATCTTACTTTTATTTTTACATATAGTTTCCTGTATCATTGATATAAGAATAAAACTTGGGCACTGTGGTAGAGTGTAATTCCATTATGGGTAAATTTTATTTTGATAGAGTCTCACAGTGTTATACAGTAATATTTACTGATGACGTTTCGAGCACAATTTATTGCTCATAATCATATCAAGTTGATTTGAAAGAATGCTCCGCTAACAACCACTGGGTTTCTGCGAGTTCCTTGCAACTCATGGATGAACGCCGGTCCATTCCGGCTGGCAGTGAATACAACAATCAGCGAAAGGCGCTCACGCGCAAGATTAGACAGTGTTTACGTAAGGACCGCGAAGCCTGATGGTCAGAACGTGCGTATGAGATGGAGTCAGCTGCTGCATCTGGCAACAGTCGGAAGCTGTTCCAACTCATACGAGCCACCGGCAGCAAGAAACAAGGTGTCAGCGAGACGGTCTGTGAGGCAGATGGCACTCCAATTACCAGCCTAAAGAGACGCCTGGAACGCTGGGCAGAGCACTTCGGGAAGCAGTTCAGCTGGCCACCAGCTTCATTGTCTACTATCATTAGCCCGAGTGCTCCTTGGTCAGTTAGTACCGACCCACCCACCGGAGCGGTGGTCCGTAAGGAACTCCAAGTTCTGAAACGCCATAAGGCGCCCGGCCCAGACAAATTATTCCCGGCTCTTTTTAAAGATGGCGGCGAGACTCTCATAATCGCTCTAACTGGGTTGTTCAGGAGGGTGTGGGAGACAGAGAGCGTACCATCAATGTGGAACGAAGCCATTATCGTCCCCATCTTTAAAAAGGGTCGACGTAATTCGTGTGACAATCATAGGGGTATCAGTCTGTTACCAGTTGCGTCTAAAATATTGGCTGCTGTCATGCTTCGCAGACTGTGCAAAATACGTGAAGGATTGATTCGCGAAGAGCAGGCTGGGTTTCGTTCAGGTCGTGGATGCATTGATCATGTGTTCACCCTTCGTCAGTTGTTGGAACACCGCCACACGTATTGCAGGCCAACGATCGTTGTGTTTCTTGATATTAGGGCTGCCTTCGATTCGTTGGACAGAACTGTGCTCTGGAACTGTCTGTTAGAGAGAGGTGTACCTGAGAAATTTGTTAACATCTTGAAAGCCCTATACAGAAACACCTCAGGTAGAGTGAGGGCATACAACCAACTATCACCACTGTTCCCAACCAACAGTGGGGTTAGACAGGGTTGTCCAATCTCTCCATTTCTCCTTAACTTTGTCATCGATGACATTCTTCTGGAGTCAGCTCTGAAGGATGTGCGTGAAGGTGGTGTAGATCTGCTACCTGGAGATAGACTTTTCGACCTCGAGTATGCAGATGATATTGTCTTACTGTGCGATGGCATGCAGACTGCCCAAATCGCACTTAATCAGTTGGCGATCAGTGTCTGTAAGTATGGTATGTGCTTTGCGCCGTCTAAGTGCAAAGTACTGTTACAAGATTGGCAGGAGCCTGTACCTGCACTCACTCTTGCGGGTGAACCGCTTGAAGTTGTCGATAAGTTTGTGTACCTAGGTAGTTGTGTGAGTGCTGGCGGAGGGGTGACGGCTGCGATTTCCAACCGTATAATGAAAGCTAGGGTGGCATACATCAACTTGAGCCACCTCTGGCGCCGTCGCGACGTTAGCCTGGCTGTCAAAGGTCGGGTATACAATGCTTCGGTGCGGGCTGCGCTGCTCTACGCCTGTGAAACCTGGCCTCTCCGAGCTGAGGATGTGAGGCGACTCTGCGTGTTCAATCACCGCTGTCTCCGCAGGATTGCTTGCGTTTGATGGCATCATAGCGTGAGTAATTCTGAGGTTCGGCGGCGTGTGTTTGAACACAGTGGTGATCACCATTCATTGAATGTCGTCATCTGGAAACACCGGCTCCGGTGGCTTGGACATGTGCTGCGAATGTCACCTCAGAGGCTTCCGTACAGGTCTCTGTTCGCTAGCCCTGGGACGGGATGGAAAAGGCGGAGAGGTGGTCAGCCCATGACGTGGCGTCGTGGGATGAAGGATTTCTGTGCTAGATTAGCGTCGGTTGGTGTGTCACGACTCCCTGGTTGGGGTCTGAGAGATAGCTCAAATCGATGGTTCGAAACGTTATCGGATATGGCCAAGAATCGTAATCAATGGCGAATGTGTTGCGATTTCCTTCTTTCTTCCATTCCCGATGACAGTTAACGAACACTGTTTGAACCTGTTAAGAATGAGTGTTTTCCTTCCAGATGAAGTTCTTTATACGTTCTCTACTTATATATATATTTTTTCTTTTCCTGCCTTCCTTCCTTTTTTTTTCATCTATGTTGTTATATTATTATTGTGTGGCGCATCCTTCTTGGTGCCATATTGTACCAAGTTTTAATGCGTCTAAATAAATAAATAAATAATCAGTCCGTTTACGTAGATTGACATCCAAGAAGTGTATAGTGTCATTATCATGTTCCACTGTTATTTTATACTAACATAGAACTAACTAACTTATAACATTATCTTGGATTCCGCTTTATCTCTATATATTCTGAATATTTCGTCTATATACTGCAGGAATATGTCAGTTTTTCCTATGGAATCCTTTTTTTCCCTTCACGTTCCCAGTGGAACATAGGGCTTCAAGCTAGTGGCTTGAAGTTTCTGTAGCAGTGTTTATTTTTACAGTATTACGTTGCTAGCCTTATGCCCAACCTCTCCTCTTTACCAGCATTATTTCTGGCTTAGCGGGGCAAAGGGGTGCGTCGGCCGGGGATCGAACCCCGAACCGTGTGCATGGTCGGCGAGCGTCCTAACCGCCGTGCCACAAATGCATGGAATCCTTTAAGGCAGTGTATTCTAAACTTGCCAGGGGCCTAATGAGCTTCCTGTTGATACGCCATCGCTTTGAAAATACAGTTCTTCATTGAACAAAACTGTGCCTCCTTCAGTTCACCTTTACAGTAACTTCCTTAAAGAATACTTAGGTATAGGACATTCATTTACTACATCGCAAATAAATTTATTTGGTTTAGTGAACAAAACCATGTTATCGTTGGATGTAATGTCGCTATTTCCCAATGTTCCCTTGGTTGAAACAGTGGATTATGTATCCCAGTAAGTTGTAGAGAGAAAAATCGATTTTGGCATCATATCTATGAAACTGAAAGAATTGTAGCTAAAATGTACTATGAATGTTCATTTTGTATTTAACAAAGAGTTTTACCATCAAATAGATGAGGTTGCTATGGGCTCCTCCAACAGGTCCTTTATTAGCTGATATTTTCCTAGCTAAATTAGAAAATGGTCCTCTGAGAGAGGTGTTACACAAACTTGAATATGATTGCTGTTATGTAGACGACACATTCATAGTTTGTGACAATAATTTGGATAAACAACGGAATTATGTCTGCACTTAACAAAGGATTAGACACACACAAACGCATTACACTAGTTACTAACTAGTATCCAATCAAAATAATACGTAATAATTACTGTTATTGATTATAACTTACTTCCATGAAAATTGCTTCACCTGGATTCAGTCTGACATAATTGAAGAAGAATAGACTGAAACAACCAACATCACCAGGAAAATCTGTAGCTAATCTAATGTATACCTCTTTTAAGACGTCTGTATCAAGCGTGGTATTCGTTTCAATCGGTGGGATAGTTATCTTTTCACCATTTGTTAATCGTTCCTTTAAGTTATCCACCAATGTACTGACCTAGAGGTGAATATAAACAACATACAATACAAATAGAATACATCAAGAAAGCATCAAGAGTAATGCATAAAACATTGTTGAATTCAATTGTCAATGTTGGTGAACAATTGAATTGTTTGTTTATTCGAACTGGTCTCCATATTGGCTGGAGACAAAAAGGTTATTGTTGCTTAATCAATCGTGTATCGTACTGGTTGGCAGAAGACTGCAGAAATAAGATCAAAAGCATTACTGTAAATTACACTAACGCTTATTTAGAGACTTTGCACTTGGTAATAAACGTAATTCTGTTTGGTTATCGGTCGAAAAGTAAACAATTGTATTGCCTTACCGTTGTTCTTACTGATATTCCGCATAGTATTCTGCGTATTAGACTTAGCCTTCTAAAATCAGAGATAGGTTCAGGATCTTTGCGATCTACGTATTTGCCACCAATGTCTACGAAAATACACAGTTTAAAATGAAATTTCGTCTTGTTGTGAATACTTTACAAAATCATATGATCTATTTGACACGATAAATGATGTGTAAACTGCCAGCATTAAAGGTGTATGTAATACATAACACGCACCATTGATTGGTTTGAGAAGCGAGTAACATATGTGGATATGTATGGTCTTGAACTGCTCAAATGACTTACATATAATGAGTAGGATACTACTTGGTCGTCAGTAAGGAGAAAAGGTAGAGATGACGTCTGAGAAGGAAAACAAATTATTGAAGGTGGAGTCTTTTAATCAAATAGAGAGCAGTCTTACGAACAGCATATCCTCAGCTATACAAAACAGTCTAACAACTAACACACTCGGGAATACTATCCTGCCTGGTCAGATAGTAAACGGAGAACTTAGGTGTGTACACAACAGCTCGATGAGCTCAGGACACTTAGTTCCATTTGAAAAGTTCTTCAAAATCCTATACAAGCTCCAAACAAACCTCTCAAAAGAGGGAATGTGAGATCAAGGCATCTGGATATAGCTGGGGCACTAGTAGCGAGAGAACCAAAAGCTCAAGCCAACGCTGATCAAGGAAGGCGATGGGTAGGCAGGCATGCGTAATACATGTGTTAACCATCTCACTCAATCGATGTAACTTCACAGCCTGGTCGACTGGTTTTCTATCCCTCCTTAACTGGCACAAGACCGAAGCCTAACCACCTCAATATTATTCACTCTATTATTGCACCTACCACCTAACATGGGAGATAGAACGCAGACATACATGATCAGAAACAGCTAACTGGGCCTTTCATGTCTTCCACTTTCAATGGCCATGTCTCACTCACAGTCATCCATAATAATAATAATAATAATAATAATAATAATTTGCTTTATTCCAAAACAGTACATGTGATACAGAATGAAATTCTCAGTATTTTTTATTACAGTATTGCATCCATTTAGTACATTATAAATAAATAAAATTCTACATAGATTAAGGAAATCTCAGTTCATTATGACAACAACATATTGGCATGTTGGTAGCAAAGGTAAAGCTGAAGAGTGTTTGAAGGTGTTAGAAAAGTGGGAGCTATCATATTTACTGGTGTAAGCGGAAGAAAGAAACAAAGCAGCACATAACGGAAAAAAAGAGAGAGAAAGGGAAAAGAAAGAAAGGAAACGTTGTACCTATAAATGATGTGAGTTGGAAAGACGAGATCCAGTTGTTTTACTGACTATTTAATAAGTTATAGGTATCACGCCTAATGCTTTCTTTATCACACAGAACACGAGCTAAGTAGGGTATGGTTGAGTTTTTGTACTTGCTAGTGCGAGCATATAGGGGGATGGAGCGAACTGCTGTTCAGTACCCACGTCCTTTGATCGACAGCCAGCTGGATATCACGTCTATACTAGAAATGGCGTAAATAGTGATTGATAAAATATTAGATCATTGTATCATGGAAATTTCAAATAACTTCGTAGTCCTATTACATGTGTACAACATATATGATGCTGTTGGTTAACTATCTTAAATAACTGTCGCTATAAGTGATTCCTTTTGTCTGGTGTAGACGTGATATTCAGCTATCCATCAAAATACGTGTGTACTGCGCAACAGTTCACTCTGTCCTTCCTGATATGTGTGAGACGTGGTCATTCGAAAGTGGGACATCCGAATAGGCTGACGGTCTTTAACTTTAAGTGGTAAAATGTGTCCAATAATAATAGGGTGTACAGTGTCAGGTTGGGAGAGAAAGTCAATCAATCGACGAGGTTATGAAGTCTCATCATGCATAACACATCTTCGTCGACTACTGATGGCTGATACGGGAGATTCCGTTGGAAAACAGTTACGCATGATGAAACCAAAGCGTAGCATCAGTCTACGAAGTCTTCGATAGTTGGTTTGAACCACGTAGGGAGATGTAGACTTCCAGATTGAGGACTTCAAGATATTAACAACAAATGACTTGAGAATGCTATTGATGACATAACATAAAATGCTTTTTCAACGACCTGAGTGTTACGTAACCAATTTAACACTACAAAAACACGAAACTACACACAGTAATCTATAAGAAATAGAACAAATATGTTTAACACTTAGAAAAAAAGGAGGAAAGTTATTTTAAACTGACTTACCATCTTAGGATCTGCAGTCATTAAGCGTGAATAAGCCGCTTTTATCGATGGTGAAGCTAAGTCTTCATCTGATACAGATATATTTATCAAATCTTCAGTATATTCTGGACCAATAATTTCATGAAGTTCTGGTATATCTAAAGTAAATCAATTACACCAACTATCTAGTTAGAAGAGGGGATCAATGAATAATTGAAATATTACCTGAAGAATTATCAAGATTCAAGGAAACACAAACTTGACAATAATTGAAGCGCCCACTGGTTATCAAGCACTAACAGTTGATGAAAACAGTAACCAACTACTTATATCAGTCGATCAGTAGCATATAGTAGCATGTACTTATGCTTACTTTCTTGGTTGACACTTATATTACCTACTAGACTACATACTATGATATGAATATTCTCGGTTTTGAGAAGAAACCATCCATAAACTTTTGAATGTACTCATGAATTTTTTCAGTACAAGGGGAAGAACACCGCTGCAGTTTGGATTGAAGGAAAAGATTTACGAGTGGTCTATTTAAAATATAAAGAAAATCCACTAGATATTTGAATGCTGCTTTCAGCTAGGTAGAAAGGTGCAGACATTCTGGCCGGGATCCTCGGTGTGCTAAGAACCAATGACTTGGGATTGTTGGTGACTAAGGGCTCACAATTCTTCTCAATGGCGCTGTGGTGCGTTCACCATTCTTCTTTCTACCTTTGTGGATTGGACCAACTGAAGTTGCTGTAATTCAGTGGATTCCAGTCATAGTAATATTCACTTGTTTATATAGAGCTTCAGCAGTAATGTAACATTTTTACGCTTATCAGCCAGTGATTTGGCCTGCTAATAAGTGCAACTTATCATTTATTGTATAAGATTTTCATATACTTCACAATCTATTTATCGATTAATTACAGCGGTGACTAAATAAAACACATATGGCTAATAACAGGAAACAGTAATAATAATAATAATAATTAATAATAATAATAATGTAAGCTACTACAGTTCGATTAAAAAGTTGTCACGTGTTAGTTTGAAGGGATTTGACCTGTTTCAAGTCTCATCACGAATCGATGCCAGTTAGACGACCATCGGAAACCAGCAGCGAGTATTGGATAGCCTATCTCCTCCAAGTTTGGAAATCCTCAGTAGCCCGCACCCACAGCCAGGGTTCAAACCCATTACATTGTGGCTATCTTTAAGGACGAAGTTTCTGCAGATTAGAGTAACAGGATGTAAGTTTTTATTGCATTAGACATAGTTTAGTCTGTCTTCAGTTGAAGGATAGCCATGGAGTAATTCAACTGTACACATCTTTCACTGTAAATGCTGTTCTTTCTGCTTTTACTGATAACCAATGGTAAGTTTATATACAGTCTATAAATAGCTGGAGACTTTAGATGTGATATAATAAGTAATAATAATAATAATACCAATAATAACTATATTCCAAACTATAGTAATTACACTGAATGGAATTTTCAGCGTTTTTATGCATATTGCAATAATTTAGCTCCTTTTATAAATATGTAAATAGATAAAATTTAAAAAGTGATAATAATAAACCACAAAAAGTGAAAGTCAGTGGAACAGAGTGAATTATAAACAAATAAATATAATAAACAATAAAAAATTCAATAATAATAATCTTGGTTTATACTTTGCATTTCACTTATTGATTTAAAAAGTTTGTAAGTTCTTTTCTGACATTCACCTCTCTTCATACAAAACCCTGTGCTAAATATGGTGGTATGGTAGAATTTCTATATTTAGTTGTTGTACCAGTATAAATCCTTATGAAGTTTCTTCTGGTTTTACCCGAAGAGATAAAAAGAAATAGTTGCGAATACGTAGAGGGGATGTTCAGTATCAGACAAGATAACTTTAGCCAACTGTTTGGCATGCGATTCGCCCCTGTAAAATGTAAGATGTTGCTACAGGACTGGACTACGTCAACTCCAAGCTTAGTGATAGGGAGTGAAGTGATAGAACATGTTGACCACTTCACCTATTTGGGAAGTTGTATCAGCACCAACGGATTGATTGGTGACAAAATCTCAGCACGAATCCAAAAAGCTCAAGCTGCTTTCGCTAACTTACACCGTCTCTGGCGTAGGCGTGACATCCGGCTATCAACCAAGGGACGTGTGTACTGCTCAGCAGTTCGCTCCGTCCTTCTTTATGGCTCTGAAACATGGCCAATACGAGTTGAAGACATGAAAAGGTTGTCTGTTTTTGATCATAGATATCTACGATCTCTTTCTCACGTTAGATGGTATAATAAGGTAAGTAATGTTGACGTTAGGTGTAGAGTGTTGGGCAAAGAGGGAAAATCAATCGACGAGGCTATAAAGTTATATAGATTGAGATGGCTAGGTCACGTGCTGCGCATGCCTAACCATCGCCCTCCCGGACGGGCATTACTAGCTGATATAGGTGCAGATTGGAAAAGAGGAGTAAGTGGTGGCCAAACAAAAACATGGCCTCATCAATCCATGAAATCCTTCACAGTTAAACTGAGTCAGGTATGGAGATGCAGACTTCCGGGTTGGGGTCCTCGGGACTCTAAGAATCAATGGCTGGAGACAATAGGTGACATGGCTCAAAATCGTTGTCAATGGCTTATGCAGATGTATTCAGTCTCTTTAACCTTCATACTCCTTTCTACCATTACTCATTCTGTTTCACTCTTATACTTGTCAAAACTCTATTGATTCTCTTCACTCATCTTCTTGTCTACCTTTGTGTGCTATTTGGAACGTGGCAACTCGAACTGTTGCACTTCGGTGCCAAGTTCTATGTTGAATCCAGACAGACAGCCAACTGCTTGCAAGATTTCAAATATCTGTGAACAACAATGTTAGTTAGTTGAGTGACAGGCACACACACTACTGACTCTACTTACAGCCTTCAGTGTTCTACGTAATGTGACAAAGTCATTTTTGAGAAGTCCAGGGAAGAATAAGTGGGGCGAACAATAACGAAGGATAGACAGAATGTATGAATTAATAAATTGTAAGCGAAGAGATTGAGTCATGATGCCACAAAATCTCAACTTGTTTATGTAATAATAAGTCAAACGGAAATTTTTCTTAGAAATCTATAGGATATGACACGACCAACAGAGATTCGAAGAGAAACTAATTCCAAGATAGGAGATATTCGATTTATTTCCCTATCACACTGCCGTCAATACTACAGGATTCATGGGACTGAATCAGTCAGTCCACGTAAGTCTTGTTCACATCTGAAACTAAAATCAACAATATGACATCTAGATGGATTCAGTTTAAGACCATTTAGGTGAAACCATTCTTTGGTTAACTTCAGATAAGAATCTATTCATATAAGAACAATCCAATGCAGAAACTAATGAGACAGAAATCTATCTATCTGTCTGTTTTCGACATAGAACTTTGCACCGATGTGCAGCAGTTCAACTTGCCACACTCCATGTAGCACACAAAGCAAGAGAAGAAAGTAAAAGGGAATGCAAAATAGAGACAGTAAACAGGAATATGACCCATAGCTGCTACCTTGACGTGATGGTCGGACTTGCACATCGCAATGACCCAACAAGCTATACTGGCTGGAACTATTGTTCATGCAGGTCCTACCATGCCAGGAAGATTGTTAGGATAGCGATTAGACTAGAAGCAGTTATCGGCTTAGTGTAAGAATTTTTTCAGACTATGCTGAGGGTGTGTGGGCAAAGTCGTACCGCTGGGGAACAGGGATGTAACAGCAGTGAAGTGTTCCCCTCAGATGACCAGGATGCCAGCTATGCTGTCTCTCTACTCTCGAGAGAACGGGTTACAAAAGGTTGACCCAAACAATTGTATATCTCGACTTATCCTACGGTGGTCCGTAACGGGCGGTAAGTTTAGTAATACGGAACAAAACCAAGAAACCAGTTCATAGAGGCCGTATGTGACCGGCCTCAAGCATTTGTCCCCTGGACTCTGTGGTCACGCAACACTAACCTTCGTTATGTTTTAGGTACCTGAAGATTCAACTAACTTCCACGGTGTGGGCAGCCAGGAAGTAACAACCGCCCACACACTTCCAAAAGCACACGAAGCCTCCCCGAGCATCATTTTCCTTCACCCACATCACTGAGACAGAAATTGTGAAATCGTCTGCATATTTAGTGAAGTCAGCTTCGGAAGAATATGGGAGGTCATACAAAAAGAAATGGAAAGAGTACAGAGCCCTGTGAGGCACACCAATAAAGTGGGGCGCCTTCCATTCCATCCAATAGAATTCTATTGTTTTTTTTTCATTTTAATATTCCTTTTGTCTCATATTTCTGTTTATTATCTCTCTTTACTCTCTTCTCTTGCCTTTTGTGCTAAATGGGGTGTGGCAACCTGAACTGCTGCAAATCTGTACAAAGTTTTACGTTGAAACCAGTCAGTGAGTCAGGAAGGCAAATGAATGAAAACAAAAATAGACTGCATTACTTTATATATATAACATAACCTACATTTTGCAAATGCTCCAATTTCCGCTGGTGATCTAAACGAGACCATTGCTTCAAATGGTGTTAAAGCGATGGCTAGTTCAGGTTTGTGATTTGAATCTTTGTAGATATCAGGTCTTTCAGCGTGTAACTTAATGGCGTACTCCTAAAAAATGCATATAATACATATAAAGCAAAAGCCTAAAAAGCAGTAATTTATAAAATATTCGCTATTTATATGACTTGCAAAAAAATTGCTGTCAGAAAAAGCAGTATAACAGAAATTCTTCGGAAATACATTATCATTCAATTTAAAAATATGGGTACAGAATGAAAGAGGATGGAAAAGAACAGATCCCTACAAAACTAAGTATCATAAATGCAGTGAATGCGTGTCAGTGGTTCAATCTTAGGATGCTCGCCAACCACATATGTGGTGTGGAGTCCAATTACCCGACGAGTCACACTTAAACGTCACGTAATCCACTAGCCTATAGCAAGCTCAGAAAAGAGGGGAGGTTAGATAAGAACCTAGTAAGCTCACCCCATAAAACAATAACATCAACGTTACTGAAACTTTAAAGTATACTCCACTCCACACGCAAAGGAATGAAAAACGGGTCACTGAAGTTGGAAATCTTTAGACTGAATTGCTTTGTGTAAAATATACCAAGCTATTATCTTTTCCAATGAACACTGTCAATTAAGGTAGAATAAAATTGGCGTAAAGTTAAGAGTGATGAAGAATGATGTAAGTTACCCAGGATAAAGTTTTCAGTATGCTAGGAATCTCCAATTAATTGTAAATCCATAAACAATGGGTGGAAATGGTTTACGACAATGTAGGTGTATTCACTCAATTGCACTTTAAGCTCTGAATATTTAGCCTAATCGTCTTGCATTCATACTCTTGTCTTTATTCTGGTTTCCCTGCATTTTAGTTCTCGTTTTGAGTTCTGTGTAAAGTACGTTCAACATATAATGCGCAGAGTGTGCGTCGGTGGCACAGAGGTAGAATGCTCGCCTACCACGTCATATGTGGTTCGGGGTCCGATGCCCGGCTGACGCACTCCTTTACCTCGTTAAGCCAGTAATATAAGACTGGTAAAGAGAGAAGGTTGGACATGAGGCTAGCAAACCCGTCCCGTAAAAATAAACACCATTGCTACCGAAACTTCAAGCCTCTAGCTTGAAGCCCTATGTTTCACTGGGAACGTAAAGGAATAAAAAACTAATAATAATAAACAGGGTGACAGCTGACAAAATTATGCAGTGCTTTAATCATATTCACTTTTGAAGTCCATCAAAATGCGCCAGTAGCACTTAGACGTTAACTGCGTACACAATGATACGATGATGGGGAAGCAGGGTAGTGTGAATGTTACCTGATAACTTTAATAGTTAAGTGGTGATAGATAATAATCTTAAATCAAAACACATACAGTCTCAATTTTTTGTTTCCTTCACGTTCCCCAGTGGAACATAGGTCTCCAAACTAGTGGCTTGAAGTTTCGGTAGCATTGTTTATTTTACAGGATGGGGTTGCTAGCCTCATGCCCAACCTTTCCTCTTCACCAGCATTATTTCTGGCTTAGCGAGGTAAGGGAGGAGTGCGTCGGCCGGGGATCGAACCCCGGACCATGTGCATGGTCGGCGAGCGTCCTAACCGCTATACCACCGACGCACACAGTCTCAATTAGTTTAAGAAAATTGATTATCTAGTGTTAACCAATGTATTTGCCTGATCTTACGTGTATTAATCAAAAACCTGTCAATTAAGTATCCACTTCAGTCATTAAGCCAAGTGACACTGCAATGCACCTTTTGACTTGATGATAACCACAATACTGAAGAAATCAAACAGCTAAAAATAAGGATACGACACGAACATTCTTTCCTTCGACGTTCCTAACAAAGCTGAGGTTTTCCAATGAGAGTGCATTCGATATTATTAGAAGGAGATATCTTCAAATAATTTTAGATCTTACGAACCAAACAACTAAACATTAAACCACAAGTCACCTACTAAGAAGACATCCAGCCTTCCAAATTAACATGTTCACTATAGTATGAACTAAATTTTAATGAATTCCTAGACCTGGTAGTAACTATGGCGCGCTTATAATTGACAACAGTAGCACTGATACACATACATCTTGTCGTTTTTCTATCCTACCATCACATTTCTTTACTACAACCTCTTTGTATTAATGTCTTCTTTTATCTGGTGTGTAGACAAGAGTTTTCAGACTACTATAACTATGCAATAATCTTAGATTTCTACTTTGATAATGCTTCGTTAAAAAAAGTCAAAAATTTGGCATTTTTGTTACTCAGTTGTTAGATAAAAAAAGCCAGTTATCTGTTTCGATGCCAGATATTTTGTAAGCGCTTATAGAAATACATAAAAAACACCTCTGTGTCAGTTTGAAGTTGGTCTCACAAACTTTAGAATGATTGTAAAGAACGGAGAACGGAGAATGTGCCCAAAGGTTGGTGATAAAGCTTATAAACACAAAACAGACCAGATATTCAACCCTAGTTTGTTGATACATTACCGAACCTTACAGTGAATGATGATTAATCTAAAGATTCACTTAATAAAACATACAGAAGAGCTCAGGAAGGAAAAATTTAAGGTTGTCTGTATGAACTGAGACAAGCAATGCAATCCACTCACTGAAGATTGGTGTTAACACCCTCTCAGAAGCATTACTCATGTATAAGACCAGTGACAAGAGGGTAGATCTATGGGTGGTATCTCACAAAGAATTTTACATCTAGGCATTTTAACTTAACGTCTCATGAAATATCTTTTAAAGATAGAAACACTTCTATGTAAACTTATAGTCTACTTAGACACAAGGTGTCGCAATCTAGTCATTATTTTCGGTAATAAAGAAGTTTGACAATGGATTAGCAGGAAATCTATCACTCAACATATATGCATTAGCAGGTGGAAATGGAATAGGCATATACTCAGGTTACCGCTGGGTGAAATCACACGCCAGATCCTCAAGCAGAACCTGAACGGAAAGCGACGAGTGGGGTATTTGAGCGTGAAATGGGCAAGATTAGATGAAGCAACAATGGACGCTTCCGGAAGTCGAGGTAAATCAGCAGCTTTTGACAACATTTAGACAAGTTGCGGATGAAAACTTCCTCTCATGTATTCCCACAAAGAAATAGGAAAATTTAGATTTCATTAAAGTCAACATGCACATGTCAGCTACGTAGCTGGCAAGTAGAGTTCCATATAATTAACTATATCATAAATGCATTAAGTAATGATAAAACCTTTCTTCAACAATAAAAATCACTATACCTTTGCAGGGTGGGCTTGAACAGACAATGCTCTCCGCACAGAAAGAACTTTAAAAAGAAATGGTAGTGCTTTCCCGAACTTTGCAGCCACAGAAGAACCCAAACAGTTTGAATGTTCAGTGATATAACTTTCAAGTGTGGTAGAAGGAGCGTCCATCAAAAACGATGGTCCTGATACATGAGTACCCATCCACAACTATATAAAGTTTTTGAAAAATAAGAAGGTAAATAATTACCTCAGCATACGGTTTTGTAAGATCTAGATCTTGATATTGACCAGATCGCTCCAGGAGCTTGTAAACCTCACTACTCACACCAATTTTACCCCAATCATACGCTTGGAAAGCACACTTCAGGCGCAACATGACGTCTCAAATCTGATTTGACCACACTTTGAAAGCACGGGGTGAACGCCAAGGGACCTTGAAGTTAATATCTCTAGTTAGAACAAACAATAAGTGTTCCATAGTACTAAATTTTGATCTACAACCTTCAAAATTAGCTTTTAGCTTTTTTGAAATAAATCTGGAGAGTTAACTACTCCAACTTTAACCAAAAGTCACAGGAAGCAATGGTTCCAGAGACGACAAAATAAGTCACCCATAATACAACTTCTCCTATACAATCTATCAAAACCTTTAGATTCTGTCCATAAGTTCTTCAGACTTCCGAATGGCAGCTTAATTGAAATGTGTTGGACTTTCAGTTTCTCAGAAAGTAGAAAAAACACCATTGTTTCGAAACAGTTCAATGTGGCCGTGAATGAAAGAGTTTTGTGGAGAACAACGATGTTTTAGGAAATGAAGACGCCTAACGAGGAACTGTCAGTTATGAGAGCTAAGGAGAATGACAATTAAATTCTCGTTGCAACTGACTTTTCTATTTAGGCAGTATGAGGATCATAAACACGGAAGCGGATCTTTTCGCCAATATTAAATCTCTCTGCGAGTGAGTTGGCTTTGAGTAGCTCCTCCTCATTGTATATGCGTTCTGATAGGGTGGTAAGGGGCCGAATGCGCTATTTAAAAAATCTTGGCCTTGTTTTTGAATCTGATGTGTTCTCTCATCATTTATCTGTATTTCCTTAGATTCCAGGTGGAAGATTGGAATCCAACAGTACATCTCCATTTCATCCTGTTTTCAGCAGTTCTAATCTCCCCCTTGCATAATCTCCTCTATGTTACCTTCGCAAGCGCTAAACTCGTCAACTGTCACTCAGGCTTCACGGAAATGTCTGACGTGCGATATCACTCAATGGTCTTTCCAGTGGACTGAAACCGTCCAGCAGGCTCAAAGTCACCGGAAGTTAAAGGCACCTGAATGTCACTTCCATCCAAGTTACTCAGCCATGTTGGACTGCTGCTCTTTAACTGTTCATTCCCATATTAGTTTCTACGTTTATCCAGTATCTTCTTTGACTGGTAACAAGAAGATCTTTTTACCATGGAAGTTCACAGGGTGTCCGCTCTTATTCATTAATTCACCCAAAACATGTTACTACAGAAACTGTTTCAATTCACTACTTAGTTTTAAACAATGCGTTATAAGACTAAGCGGCGTACGTTGATTATTTTCCAGTGGTTAGGACTCTCGCCGACCATGCACATGGTCCGGGGTTCGATCCTCCGCCAACGCACACCTGATATCTATGGTTGGCTCGCAAAATTTGGACTACCGATATCCCATGCTGAAAATTCTATACCTGTACCGAAAATACGGTGTGGAATCAAACTGTAATCAAAAATATAAAAGAATAAAATAAAAATGTACAAAACACTGTATAACTAATTAAATCATTGTTCTTGCATTCTTTATTAGGTAGTCCTGTAAGTAATAAATGTATAGCACAAGCTTTTACTTTGATTCACATACCTAGCTCCCATTCATTACACCTACGTGTGGTGTACATTTAAGAATTACATGCTGCGCGATGAGTTCTGCTACTTTCAAGATTAAAGCGAAAACATGTTGAGCAGAATAAAATAATGTCATTAGAGTTTGTTAGTTATTATTAAATCCATATAATCGGAAGTAATTTAGTATCCGTAGGGCGAATGTTTGAATGCTGCAGTTATTGGACACAAATATGCTGGTTATTAGTTACTACTACGTGGTTCAACAGCATATTGTAAAGCAATAAAAACTGTTTCTTAGCTCATTTTCAAGTAAACAGTCTACATTTGGTGATGTCATTTCGCATTAACATAATAATAAAGTAAGCGTTAAAACTAAGTTATTAAGCTTACTTGCACGACATGAGGCAATGGGTTTTTGGCGTCCAGCAGTATGCAGATATGGTGAATCTAGGGTACCAAACAGTACAGTATTACTCTTTGATTTTATAAATCCTACTTAGTTTGTGAAATGTCCTTTTGAACAAAACAGACGCAAAATCATTCTTATGACTAAATTAACAGCCGCATAATTCTAAAGAGCGTCTCTATCCTATTAACTAAGCCTTAAATGCATGAATGGAACTTCACATATTAAAATAGCCCATAGCAAAGCAACATATTGAGGGAGTCAAGAAGAAGTAGGAATAAGGAGTATATTAAGCATTTCATTAATTTACAGGAGACGATTCCGATGGACAGTGTTACTTTGGTCGACCGATATCTTCGCCAATTTCATATTAGACAACCTCCATGTACCTATAAAACAAAGCATATATAAGGAAAGACAAAAAGGATAATTTATAAGTTAGCATACAAAATAAATAAAAAATTCTGTTAATACTACCTAAAATTCTCATGTAAATTAAAGTATCCGTAGTCACAACTTATTTTCGTGTCAATGCCACATGCATAAACTGGCTTCATATATTCTCCAACACTACAGGAAAATAGGCAAATTTCAAGAGAATCTCTGACACATCCCTAACGTTAGCGCGTTATTATCCCATGGAAATGACTTCCAGTCCATGCAAGCACAAGGCAGAATCACTTTAGACTAATTTCGTTTGCTTCAAAGAAAGTTTAGGAAATGTATAACCTGGGAATAAATCTACAGTTGAATTAATTCATAGTGAACTTGGTTTATTGAATCCAAGAGAAATGAGAGCTGCATATTGAAGAACTGCATTCAACAAATATCACGTACGTAAGTCTCAGCCATAAATAGTATATGGTTGCGCATAGAGTTGACACTGCATAGATCAATACTTAAAATATCTCAAGATACACAGACCTATTGTCTTCATGTGTGTAACGACGCCACATTTTGCAGCCTGGACATTCATAATAATAATAATGTGTATTTTCATTTAAACATAAATTTACATGAAAATGCATGCCATTTTTACAGGCACGATCAAGTATGAAATAATGTCAGTCATGACACTACTCTGTACTTCTTCATGTGAGTGGAAATCCCAGGGATTATTCACCTCTATTACTGGTGATCAAAAACACTAATACATACACATTAATTATAAAGTATCAATGGTAATGTTATGACAGACATTAGAGTTTATCAGCTTAAATCCTCAGAAGGAAAACAATACATGTGAATAGTAACACTGTATGCTGAATTAATGCATGAAGTGATACACTGATGCGAACTAAACCAGCAATAACCTTCTCCACTTCACTGCACTGGCAATGACCATTCCAATCACCAATACTTATTAGTCTAGCAAAAACTAATCAGGCAATGGCACAAATTAATAAGGTTAGGGAGGGTAGGTGGCATATGCTGATCAGCAGATATGATGGTGGTCACAAATGTGAATCGCTGCGATCTGCATTTTTTGACGGCCCGACAATTAAACATAAGTCTAGCTCCTTAACAGAAACGATAGGTGTTGTAGAGATCTGAATTATAAAACAAATGCTTTTGCTCCTACCGTCTACAAGCCTGTTCAGCTCCTTGTCAAGACGCCACCCCATGAACCCTACACATATTTGTGACACATCTTACAGGTCAGCTTGTCCTACGGGTTCTAATCTTCCAGATCTTTGGATTCACTTATCACTGAAATATCACTTATCTACCTCACGATAATCCTTATATTTACTCACTATTATACTCTATTTTATCTTGAATACCTCAGCCCTTATTAAAGTCAAAACCTACTCTATTGTTCGTATTCGTCACTCGCTTAAGGTCTGGTGGCTCCGATGGAAAAAGGGAACACAACAGAAACACCGGCATTTGAAGAAAGCTATATTTTCATCCGAAACGTCATGGTTTTCATGCTTAGACCAATATGGTCAGCATTATACATTCCAAATACATACTACCATTAGAAGGAGTCACGAGCGCCCTCTTAAATATAACTCGTAAATGTACTTCAAATGATGTATTGTTCATAATAATGTTTTATACCATTTTGCAGATTCCTAGGACGTTCTTCTCTCTTTTAATCACGCGGCGGCATTGCACTTACCCAAATATACGCTGTTCACTGGTTGACCATAACTGTCAGCAGGAAACCGAATGAAGTTTGGGTTGTCGCCCAACTATGATGGTGACCTTAGTAAACGGTTTACAATTGAACATTTATAAGAACCCGTTCTGATTGCTCGTACAATAATTGAACAATTTTAACCCTTGAAAAGTATTTATTTGTTATACATCTGGACTTTAATTTATAACAATGCTGATCGTGCCTTAAAAATAGCATTCATTTGTTGTAAACTTACGCGTTTATGTGAAATACAAATAATTATTATTATGACTGTCGGTTAGAGCCACTTCCAGACGATCGTAGAGCTTTGTAGAAGGGCTGTCAATAATATCTGAAATATCCTCCATGATGTTTTCTTGAAGACTCACTGTGGCTAAGGTAGCGAACTCTGCTTCAAGATGCGAGAACCGTGAAAACGGTCCATCTGCCCACAAGGTGAGGAGCTGCAGTGTAATTGCAATCTGAGCCAGGGTCGCTGAGCCAAAGTGAGATAAATTACATAATACGCATTATTAATATATTTTGATTTTGAAATACCACAACTACACAATCAGCAATAACCATTCAATCCAAAATAAAAGACAAAACAACCAATGAAAAATTCAGATATAAATAAATTGAGCTTATGATATGGCAAATAAGGAAATCCAGATTAACCACTGGTAAGGTATTGGTCATGCTTTTGACTGGCTCCACTGGACAAGCCCTCACTAAACTTAGTTTGCTTGATTAACCGCAAACCAGTACTCTGCCTAACTCGTAATACTGACAACAAAACGCAAATCAAAATACTCAGTCAATTGGTAACGTGCTATAATAAGCAGTATACTTGAATAAAATGAAAAGCTAGGACTATTACAGTTTAGTTTACAACTTATTTAGGATAGTAGGCTATATGCCTGTGTTAATCCTTTCGATTTGTTACACACAGGAGGTCCAATCTCGCCTTGAATGAATCAACGGATGGCGCTGATGCGACGTTTTCCCGTAGGGAGTTCCAATGGTTCACAATCC